ATAAATAAATAAACTGCAAACATATGTACTTTGACCGAAACATGATTGCCAGATCAAAATAGAATTGATAGAATCTGCAAAACATAGCTTTTACAGCATACCTCTAACACTTCTCATATATTTCCTCCAAGAAGGTTTTAGTTCCTTGTAAGAGTCTTTAACAGGCATTCATTGTAGTTTGTACTTTGGTATGTGAATTTCAAGAAAATGGCTTTAAGAAATAGAAAGAATTTTGGTTAAAAGAACAAAGTCGAGGCACGTAAGATACGCTCTCCTTAAGACGAAATAGCCCCGTATATTACCCACGATTCACGGCTAACGCCTCCAAGATACAACAACTTTCGATTTGTGTATAGTGGTAACTCAAATACACAAACCTTCAGCGTACAATAATTATGTTTTGAACTCTCAAGATATGAAATAACGAACAAAGAACACAATATGAATATGAACTTTGTAAAAGGATCCAAAGGTTATGAAAATATTTCATTTTATGACCATTTCACTTCATGGGTATTTATAGATGTTATAACACATCTCCAGGGGGTTCCAGGCATCAACAGACACCTTCTGGGACGTGCCCGGTCGATTAAAACCGGTTAGAAACCTTTTCGGTACGAACAGGTGCTTCAGCGTCGCGAGCTCGTCGCGCCCGCGATGCCCTGTCGCGTTGACAGAAGCTCCGGGCGAAGAAGACTTCCGCGTCCGCGACGGGTCTTCTGTGCAGAGTGTCGCGCCCGCGACGGTCGTCGCGCCCACGACGGGGCCTGGCACATAGCTGCGCTCCGAAAGCTCGTATGCATTCGTTTGGGCTCGGAATTTAGTTCCGTTTTTTTTCTACTTGTCCCCAACGAGCCTTTCTACAATTAATGCATAATTATAGCTCGTTTAGTTTGTCTAAATATTAGTCAAACTTTTAATGTTTTGTGAACCCTACAACAATTGAATTACTTAAACTCAATTGTTCAATATATAACACTTAGAATTAATTTCTCATTCACCTTAAAATGGTTTTGAGAATTTTCTAAGTCTTCCACTAATTAAGAGTGGAACATTAAGTTGGTACAAAACTAATTTTTTCTTACATTCATAATCTAGTGAAAGGATCTCTTTTCGTTCTGTTGGTACCATCGTCATTATCAAAACAAGAACATTGCTTCTTTGTCTGCGGATGGTTTATTAGAAATATATACATATGTTTGAGATCTTGAGCTGGGTGCTAATTTTTTTCAGCATCTATTTAAATTGTTCTAATTCTCATGTAGTTTCTTGTAAGAATCTCTTTTAATAGACATTCATTATCATATAATAACTACATTGTGGCAGTTGCTTCTTTGGAAGAAAAGTCGGAGAAGACACAAAAGGCAGATGGAGAAATGAGAGAAGGGGAACTGGAAGAGAGTAAGGCTGTTAGTATCTCTTGAAGGCTTTTTTGTTATCTCAAATTCTAATACTGGCAGAAACAAAACTTTACTAGTTCACTAATATTTTGCAGCTGTCATTCCTGTAAAGGACCCACCGATGGTGGCAAACAAGGAACTACACTTAAGAAGCAAACGAAGGATAAGGTTGCAGGTTCCACAACAAAAGCGAATCGTTCGGACAAGGTCACAGTTTCTGGAGCACCACGTGTCAAACCAGAGCTGGCCTTGCCAGTAATGTATATCCCAGAATCTTGTGCAGTTATGCCTTTTCCTATTATTATCATTTCTGTCATTATTGGATCTTTTGTTTACTGTTGTTCTATTGGTAATGGACACTCAGCTCTATGGATCAACAATTTGTTTGTGCTTTAAGTTAATGTGAAATACTGCTTGTGCAGATATCTCATATCATTGATAAGTCATTAGTTATTCTTATCCTAGTCTAGCCGTGAGAATTTTTTACCGAAAAAAAAAAACAAAAAAGTAATGGAAAA